CTGACGGAAAGTAGATTTAAAAGTCACATTTTCAGGTACACTTCAGTATTTCATTTTTATGCTTCTTTATACTTTAACTTCATCATGTTACTCATCTCATATTAATATATATAGCATAGCATATAAGCATCACTAAGCTTCCAAAATACAACAAAGTGTTGAACCTATTGACCAGAAACTGTGAAAAACTGTTCACATGATTTTATTCCAACTTATTCTGAGGCTTTTATCACTGAATGTTAGTGTTTGCCTGTAAATCAATGGAAATGTTATTAGATCAAAGATTTAAAATGTAGAAATGATTTCAGCACCTTCATCTGTTGTGTTCAGCCTGTCTCTACATGAACAAACAAAACAATACCTGGAATCATCCCCTGATCCATATTCACACAAACATTTATTGGGTTCCTCCCTGATCCATAACACACCCCCACCCCAATATGTAGTTTGTAATAAAATATCAACCCCAGCGGTCGTTTTATCGCAGAATAAATCATACAATTTTTAATACTTGAAGTAAATTGAAAATACCCATAATTCTTTTCTAAATGCAGCCCTTGTAGTATTAGCTTGTAGTATTGATTTAACAATGTTGTGCTCGTACTTCAGAGAACATGTTCCAACTCTGCTCACCGCCAAATGTCACATGTGCACATGTGATTGCTGCAGAGGTTGAAGCCTCCTTTGTGAAAGGAATTGAAATCCTTAAATGTGACGAGCTGCTCTCAGTTCTGCCTCTGCGCTCTGCTCTGCAGAGGAGAGGAAGTTTTGTCAGCCTTATGAAACACTTACACATAGAGGGTGTGTGTGAGTAAAATGCATCGTCTTCATCTCATCTCTATCTCTGCTTTATCCTGACAAACAGCTCATATTTCTAGCAACCTGAGAGAGAACAAACCTCAAGTCGAACCTCAAGTTTCTAATCTAATACTTTCCCTTCAGCTTTAATCCCTGACATATCCAAATAAGGGCAAAACCCCAAAGTGTGGTTGCAGGCACCGATGAGGCCGTGTGTGAGGCCGTGTGTGTGTGTGTGTGAGAGAGAGAGAGAAAAAGCCAGTATGACACTTGCTGTGCAGAGTAGAGAGCCGGGCGGAGTTGAAAGTCTTCCTGACAACGCCTGTGGTGGTGGGAGTCTCACAGCAGCGAGTTCTCAGTTTTGTTTTTAGTTTGCAGCTTTCATGAAACAACTTGAGCTTCATCTGAGGCGAACACGAGGAGAAGTGATAGAAACTGCACTTTAGTGTGAAACTGTTGTGTCGTGTTACACAGTAGAACTTAAGTAGTAAACTGACTGGTGTACTTAAAAAACACTTTATTTAACACTTTGTTTATTTCTGATTTGATCATCAACTTTGCCTCAAGACTTACGATCCGTTCAAAAGGTTTCATTTCCGTTGAAGCGAATGAGACAGATTTAACATTCTTTACATTCAGATCACTGTGATGATTGATTTTGATTTGGTTTTTGTGTAAAACAAATGTAAGTTGCTGCTAACTGCATGAGAGGAGGCATGAGTCCTTGTCAGTAGAATGAAGAGATGTTTTATTTGACACAGTGACTGATGGCCTGTTCATCTAATACCATTGGGCTTAGATTCATATTTACATTAAAAAATGCACATTTATGTCTGTCTGAACATTGTTGGTGACAACACATCATCTTAGTAACAGAAAGTGGAGGATTAAAAAATAAAAATGCAACAAGATGATGATCATAACTTGAGCTTATAATAATAAAGCTCATTGCTACGGTCCCTGACCTCATTGTTGCAGCAGCAAAGATGTTCAAATAAATGAGTGCATTATTTAAATTTAGAAACAGACTTTTTTTTATCATACTCATTTCTGAAATGATTGTCGGTTATCAGCTCCACCTTCACTCCACCTTTACTCCACCACAGTCCAAGGAAATATTGTCATATTTTTGATTATTTTATGACATTTCTCTAACAGTTAAGTTAAGTTAGCTTATACACTAACATTTGATGAAAATGAACACTAGAAAGGATTATTGTTCAAGATGTGATGAATTAAACTATAGTTGATATGAATAAACTAGTCGAGGCAGATGGCTGCCCACATGGAGTCTGGTTATGCTGGTGGTTTCCTCTAAATTTCTGTCAGGTCTCAACCTTGCTGTGAAAAATACCCTGAGAGAATGTATGTTGTTATTTGGTGCAACACTAACAAAACTGAATTTAAATTTAAGCAAGACTTACAGGTTTGAAGAAATACTTTTACTGTGTTGTATTAATACTTTTGAACACTGTCTGTCTTTGAGCACAGGCCACTCTTTTATAGTTGAGTGCAAACTTGTCCCAAAGGATGAAGAGACAGAATAATTCTGTGGTGATAGAGAAACGTCTCACTCTGTTGTAACCTGCTTCTGATACAGATCCAGTTTCAGTGTCAAATAACACAAAGAGCAGTCGAACATGAGGCCCTCGTGCACATCCTGCAGTGCATCACACCAGTGCAGGTGCAGTGGTAGACACTTGTATTCATAGCCTGTTATTTTAAGTTGCAGTGTGTTATATGAGTTCCTCAGATTATTTTTGAATTTATTAAGAAAAAGATGCACAAAACAAATCCTCCTGACTTATTAAAATGATTCAACGAACATGATATTTAATGAAATGTTTCTCTAGTGGCATGTTGCACATCATTTGATCTCTCCCTCCACTGAGGTCTGTCCAGAAACCTAAAGTGAGACACATGAAACTGCTGCTATGTGTTTATTATAGCTATGTGTACATATAGCTTTGTTATACTGTTTTAAACTCCTGTTATTTTTGCTGAGTTCAAAACCCCTGCAATCAGTAAATATCCATTTATTTTGAAATGACTTTCGTTACGAGTCACCTAATGAGTTGAGGCTCCTGAGATAAAACCATCTGCTTCACCTCACTGAACCATAACCTCAGCATGTCTTTTTTAATCAGAGGGATTTCACCAACCACACGTCTGTAACGAAACATCAGCACCAGGTGTAATAAAATCTCAACTAATAACATCTAACAAGACGAGAGCGAGAGCTCACTGTGCTCACATAGAGATTTAAAGAGTCTTTAATGTGCATGACCCCGCTCCATCAGGTTACAGTGAAATTAGACAAAGCCTGGGGCCTCTGGGAATAATGTTCTCCCTAAATAGCAACGCAAGACAAAAGCAGAGTGCTACACCTGATACACACATCACAGGATGACGACCTATAACTTTCAGGCTATCGTACAATGAAACAGAAGCTACAGCAGTTACTGGAAATGAAACAAGCTTTGAGAATGAACTGGAGACAATAGACGAGAATGTACTTACTCCACTAAGCGTTTAGTTCCCCCTACTGGGAGTGAAAGGTCCTGCAAACAATTCAGGTACTAGGTATAGAGCACTGTCTTGTGGCGCAAATAAAGAAGTACAGGAATGTTTCATGGAATTTGTTCAAACCAAAAATTATACACAGTCTCTCATTTCAGTCGTTAAAACTTGTGATTTTACAGTGCCGGTAAAAAAATATTTTCCTCCTTTATTTCTTCTACTTTTGTATATCTGTCACCTAGTGTGGATGTTCTGTCACTTTTTTCCATCACTGCACATGTGTTAAATGAATACCTGCAGACTGAATGAAGCCTGTACAAACTTTCATGGAAATCCAAACTGTAGCAAAAGAAAAACAGCCTAAATTTGTAAATGAAGTCAGGTCTGTTCTAAATGACTCAGTACCATATGTTGGAAACTTTCTGAGGACCTCCAGCTGAACTGTATCAACCTTGGACATCCTATTACATGTCTGACTTGCTGGGTAATCCATCCTCTACATAATACAAATCTGGAAAGATAAGAGAGGAGAAGAGTTGTGCTCCTTCATGGTTCATTCATGTCCTTAAATAAGTAAATCTAAGTGTGTATACATTATACAGAAGCGGAAAAATAAACAATGATATTTTGACAATTTCCTATAAAACAGACTTTTATTTTTCTCAATAGCTCAAAGAAATACAAAACATCCCCCCTTACTCACATATAATCATCATGTTAATTTTTCAAATCCCAACAAAAATCAAGAATTGAACAGTCCCACAGCTGTACGTCTCGTCTTGCGGTTGCTGCTCGACTGTGATGAATCAGACAACATAAACTGGAAGCTGTTGGATTTAGGTCTTCACTGCTGTGTCTCTGGATTTGTATATCACTCCTCTACTTTTCAACTCTCGCACCACACCTTTAGAAAAGGAGAAAGGAAAATTAGTGAAGCCCTCTATTGAAAAAAACAGCCAAAAATTATATTAATATTTTTCAAGTATATTTTATGTTTCATATTGAGTCAGGGCAGTTTAGATACCTGGAGGTAGTCTGCCTGTCACTGACACAGCATATACACCTGGCTTGAAGTTTCCTGTAGGATGGAAAATGTACACAAGTATGAAGACTTAAAAAATGATTCCAAGTGACAGTGGCAATACTTGAGTGTAGGGACAAGGGCATAATTAATATTGTTCTCTACAGCATTGGGGTATACTAACTTGTTACTCACAAGAAAATATCCATAATGAAATCATAGTGAGCCATAAACCCACACACAAATGTTTTTGATTGCTTGTGTGTGAGTGTGTGTGTGTGTGTGTGTGCGTGCTTTCCCTGCTTCCCAATGGTCAGAAATTGATCACTGCACCTTTAAGTGGAGGAACACACCCTTACCTATCCTCTGCCATTTAGCTACCCAGCTGTCCTCTGGACTCATCTGTGCTATCACACTGTGAACATACACACACAAAGTCGTGGTGAGCGTAGAGTCTCCCTGTGAACCTTTTGAGATGATCAGTGCAACGTGGATGTTTACCCGTCAAACGAGGAACTCGTGCATTCATACACCATCTCTCGGTTCCCCTTCATCTGGAGGTAAGACTCACAGTTGTCACAGCCGTCATACTCAAACTGGTCAATGGTCTGAGGGAGACAAGAGGAGGATGGATGAAGAAATAAGATGTAATTCACATTTATGCAGACATGCTTGGTTCTCAAATGGTCTCTGTTGGTGTAGTGCGTTAGTGTCTATCTACAAAAAAGCGGTTTGTTGTTAGATGTTTAAGAGTTCCCCAGTCTTTTCAATAATATTCAATAAATAAAGCCCATCCTGAAATCATCACTTTAAACCTTCTGTTTGTGACAGCAGATAGAAAACACTGCCCGCTGCGGATACATGTTAGCATTGAAGCTAGCTCCATCGTTTCTTTCCAACTGTTCACGATTTACCTTCACCAGCGAACAGAGGAGACAAGCTCTCAGGTGTCGCAGGTCTTTAGGAACCGTCTCCAGCGCCATTGTGTTAAATTCCTGCAGCAAAACACGCGAGAAAAGGGTCACAATCCTGCAGATCGATGTTTTGAATGTATTTCTGTCGCTGGAGGAAGTACGTCATATGTGGGGTCCTAGGAGAGAACCAGCCGACAGCACAGAGGTGTCCGCGTAGATGCCTTGTATTTAAGATGAATTTTAGAGATTGGGTGTTTGTGTTGTTTTCTGTTATTGCAAATTGTCCAGAATGCAACTACATTGTTTATTTTATATATTTATAAGATCTCCATTATATTAACTACTTTTCAGTTTTTCTAAAAATAAATTATAGTCTTTATTTGTCCTTGATTCAATTATCAAATGTTTGTTTGTGATCATTATGAGGAGCTCTGTTAGCTTTGGCACACTTTAAGATTCACGCACAGGTAAGACACCCATGGGTTTACATTTCCACCAAGTAGTCTTACACCCGTTAAAATCACTAGGTAAGGAGTAGGTGCCACACCATGTATTTATTATGTGTAGAGTAGCTTAGAATTTGGTTTCTGTGATAGCATAGAGTGTTGCTGCACTAGCTTAGGACTGCACGTTTTGATTTATGATTTCTTTGCTTGGGCACCGCTCATAGTTCCCTTNTTTCTCAGGAGATGGCTGGGGCTCCCTCGGTCCTTGAGCAGCATCGCCTTGTATGGCCATTCCACCAAACTGCAGCTCCCTTTTAGCGGACTTACGGAGGAGTTCAAAGTCACCCGCACCAGAGAGGCGATGATGTACAGGGATTCCACGGACGTCAGAGTCGCGACAGCAGGGATCCTCGTGAAGACTGGGAGAAAGTGGCAAGCGCAAGAGGCCATCACCAGAGCTGAGGCGCGACTGAGGCACAAGATGCTGGTGGGCTCGGTTGCAAGGGGGCGGGCAGGGCTGGGCAGCTTTCCAAAGCCGCGGTACGACCAAGCCCGGGGAAAGGAAAAGCGCCAGCTGGTCCAGGATGAGATCAGAGCGGAGGAGGAGGAAAACCGATACAGCAGGATGGTCGGCATGTCCAAGCAAGGGGCATGGACTCGGTGGGAGCATGCAGAACCCCGCAAGATCACTTGGACAGAGATGCGGAGAGCGGAGCCACTACGCGTCAAGTTCCTCATCCAATCAGTCTATGACGTCCTATCGAGCCCGGCCAACCTGCATACCTGGGGCTTAGCCGATACACCTGAATGCAAGCTGTGCCAGAGGAGGGGCACCCTGGAGCACATCCTGAGCTGCTGCCCAAAAGCGCTAGGAGAGGGRCGGTACCGCTGGCGCCACGACCAAGTTTTAAGATCTTTGGCAGACGCCATCTGCACAGCGATCCAGCACAGCAAGACCCAGGCTGCCCCCAAACAGTCAATSTCCTTGGTAAGGAGTAGGTGCCACACCATGTATTTATTATGTGTAGAGTAGCTTAGAATTCGGTTTCTGTGATAGCATAGAGTGTTGCTGCACTAGCTTAGGACTGCACGTTTTGATTTATGATTTCTTTGCTTGGGCACCGCTCATAGTTCCCTTGTTCCCTGTGGCGTTTATTTTTTTATAWTAAATTATTATTCCTTTTACCCAAACCTTGGTTTGTTTACTTGTGTTGCCACACCACACACCCTGCTCTGCGCAGTGTTAGGCCCTTCAAACATCCCTAGACACTATACCATCAAAAGGGTCATAACAATATTTTGTGACAATTTCTCATAACTCTACTCCAGCAGTAGTGGAGATAAAAGGGAACCAAACATGAAGATAAATCTATCAGCAGGCCTCTTTACGTTTTGTGCTCCCTTTAGAATTACAAGTTTAATCATGACTTTTCAGACAAATTCTTTATGTCATATGTTTTAATTCAGTATCAAACTGTTTGGAAAACATTAAGGCAACGTTTCAAAATAAATATATAAATTAAAAAGAAAACATCAATAAAACAAATTAATTTTATTCCCGTCTCCTCACTCCAGTCTTGAGTTCTCTACAGCCAAGTTTTACACTCTTTTTCTTCCCTGGGCAGGTTTTGTCCAGCACTGGCACCTCCTCTTCGTCCCTYTTCYTTTTATTGAGGCAATGAACCTGGGCTGAGTTGGAGGGGGCAGCTTCTGACTTTTTGCCTCTGACAAGGTCTGTCAGTTCTTTTTTGAGGCCCACGTTTCTCTTTTTTAGTGAGGGGTTGCCATCAGACGTGGGATCATGCCTCTTCCTCTTCCTCTGGCACTTTAGTGGGCCCGTTTGGCCACTTGGGCCTTTTCCAGTGGCTGCCAGTCGTCCGCTACCGATCTGTGCATGGGAGTCGTCTGGTCTGTGATGTGGATAAGAAAATAGTTTAGCTCTTGATCTTAAAGCAGTGGTTTGACATTTTAAAAAATGCACTTGGCTGCAGCTCCATGGTTAGTGASAGTTTTATCATTCTTCCCATTGAACTCTGAGCAAAATAAAAAGAATATTCATCAAAATGTTGAACTATTCTAKTGCAATATCAAATGTTCAAGACAGGGAGATATTTCAAACACCCACCTGTTGCCACACCCTGCATTCATTTTTCTTTTTTTCGCCCTGGTGACGGTGGTGGTCTGTGAGAAGGAATGCTTCTCATTTCTCATCCCAGCGTGGCTGCCCTCCTTGGCTGGGCCGGTAGTGCTGCTGGAGGAGTCCTCGTTCAGGGACTTTTGCAGGATCACCTGGTCTCCATGTCYTCCATCATCAGAGCTCTGATCCTGGCACATGTCCATCAGGTCCTTACACGATTTTGCACTGGAGGACAAATGAAACTACTGAGCCAAACACCTTAATCTCCTTATATCTCTTATATTTTATCTAGCAGCACAGACTTACACAGACCATCTAAGCAGACACTTACTAGAGGCCGGATGAACCCTGAAGGTGGCTCATGGTGATGAACGGATGCTGCAGAATTCCGCTGGGGGTAATTCTTTCATTCTGACTAATCATCAGCATCTGTGACAGCAGGTCCATAAACCACACCATGTCACAGTATTCAGCCATGGCTTCGTCTTCCCAGAACKGATGAGTCGCCTTTAACAAGACGAGGGAAAAAAAACATTGTTACATGTCCTCATGTTTGGATTATGAAACCAAATGTTTCAAAAGATATGTTGTGCCTTTATAAATTCATCCAGGTAGTTGATCACAAACGAGAATTGAAACTATTGACTGAAATGAAGAATTGCTTCATTGAGGGAGTTTGCTCCAAAGGCAATGGATGGCACACGGTAAAGAAACACACACTGAAGAACTAGTGAGCTAGTGAAGTCAGCTAAGTGGTGGTAAACTACTTTCTTACCACAAATCTGCTTTCTAACAAGTGTCTTGGCCAGAACGCGTGTGGTCGAGAATATCCTTCATGCAGTGGATCTYTAGCGGCATTCCYAAKTCGACTCATCTGGGGAGAAAACACAACATTGTGAGAGTTAGTTAACTTCAAGTKAAMAAACTCATTGTTGATCAGGTGCACTTATATAACTGACACATATGGAGTGTCTCTAGTTTGTCTCATTAGTAAAATAGTAGAAATCAGTGAACTTTTACTGGAAGCTCTCACTATTCTAAGCAAGTTTGTGGATTCAAACATACTAAAACATCATGTCAGAAATGTCTTTGTTGTGCAGATACTGACCAAATCAGCCTCATTAGAGGCGGGGAACAGCGGTACGCCCATAAAAAGCTCGGCAGCAAGGCAGCCTAGAGACCATATGTCGATGGCCCCGCTGAAAGGAGTTTCATACAGAATCTCAGGAGCTCTTAGGAGAAGACAAGAAACACAAACATATTACTGAGGCTTTAAAATCTACTAAACTCCTTGTTACTGTCAATGTGTTACTGTCAGTTTCTGGGACATAAGCCTGACATGCCAGCGTACAGGACTTGTATAATCGATTACAGCAAACACAGCTGTCTCAGGTACACRGATGTGCTGTCAGTTACTTACCTGTACCACAAGCACTGGATGATTTCACCGACCATGTCCTCAGGATCATTGCAGGCTAAGCCAAAGTCAATGACTTTAACTTTGAGTGGCTGCCTGACATGATCCACCAACATGATGTTGTTTGGCTTCAAATCTGTATGAATGATCCCTGCGCTTTTCAGAAACTCCAAGGATGTAGCCAGCTGAAATCATGAAAAACACAATAATAATCATGAGCTACAGAGTTTATTTCATCAACAAAAACTGTGACAACACATGTTAATTGATGGCAGCAAAAGCCTAAACAGCTGAGAGTTAGTCAGATATTCCAAACTCGTACAGTTGACTTAAGGAACAGGTTAACAAGAAGGTTTAGACATAATTGGGTATTATTGGGAGTTGGACAAAAACTGAAACATACACATTTTAGAGACAAAGTTCACCCTTCACCCTACAAAGTAGTTAGTGTACGAACTTGAGTTTAAAAACAAACCTGCTGCAGAATGGGGCGGATCTGCTTCAGCTGAAGGTGCTGACCCGGGTTGATCTTCATGAATTTTGCCAGGTCCATATCCAGGTGCTCAAACACAAGACAGCAATATTCCTTGAAGGTGAATGACTCCTTCATTTGGATGATGTTGAACCTGTCTGAGTGGAGCTCCTTCATGATTTGTAGGGCGGTCTCCTCGTCCTCGCTGTCAATGTCTTCCGCGCTTCTGATCATTTTTAAAGCCACGGTTTCATTGGTGGTCACATTCCTGCATTGCATGACCACTCCATAGGCGCCCCTGCCCAGGTATTTCTGCACCTGGTAATTTGTTGTGGGGGAGGGGATCAGGACTCCTTCAGTTATTTCAAACACACTGTTTTGAGACATGGTGACAGAATAATTCTCCAGTTGACCTGTCAGGAGAATAAAAAAACGAAGGAAGTTAGTCACAAAGCCTCATATGCTCTCACACAGCCTGACAGCAAGTCCCTATGTATGTAGCAGAAAAGTTTACAAACAGTAAATCAAGCTCAGTCATTTTAATCTTAAAAATCCACCAATACTARAACTATTGCTTCAATCAAAGATATATTACAGACCGATGAATATTCCTTTCTTATATCACTAATACTACTCCTATGACTATATGTGTATATTTGTTGTGCACAATTAAAAATGAGCCCACACTGTATAGTAAGTAAAATATATATGAGG